AACCAAAAAACAGTGAAATAAAGCAAAAGGTTTTGAAAAATGCTTCATCATGTCAGAAGGAAAGAACCCTTTTCACGGATGCCTTCACATTTCCTTACCCAGCCTGAGACCCTATCGACTCTGAATTATCTTTTGCTGTTTTATTTCTATGAAAATTATAAATGCATCTTTTTGTCCAAGGCGGACTGATGCTTAGAGGTCTTGCGTACGAATAGCTGAGAGTGGAAATAAACCCATCCTGCTGGAGGAGCCTATGTCGTAGCGAAACAGGCCCATCAAAATGGACTCTCAAACCTGCAAACTACTTTGAGACAAAGGCAAAAGAACAAAAATCATAAGCCTGGTTTGCCTTTATCCAGAGTCCCCAAAGCTGCTGAGCAGCTCCTCAAAAGGCACATTGTCTAGGATGATGGAAGTGGCATCTTATCCAGGAGCCACCGAAAACTTGCAATCTCAAGTTTATTGGGCCGGCTTTAAAAACATCATGCCTCTTGGATGTGCAGCTAAATGTTCAGAACACAAGTGAAAATGTAATTCTTCCCTCACACGTGTCGTCCTTGCTTTAATTAGATTAAATGCATCTGTTTATGAAGTCTTCATAATGCCTTGGATACTGAAAAATCTCAACTATTAAATGTCGATCCGTTGAGAAAAAAAAAAAAAGAAACGAAACCGAAGCACCCGCCATCCACCCAGCCTTCTGAGGCTGGACTGTGGGCCAGGGGCTGGCGGACAAAGCAGGGCAGCAGGAAGTAGCCGGCTGCGTTCCCATTAGGCAGATCTGGGGAGACATCGGGAAAAAAAATCACTGTATAAGGCTGATACTGTAAATATCCGATTACAGCGGCAGCCTCCCTAGACCTTATTTTCAAACTTCTGACCTCAGGGACGGCTGTGGCCCACAGGTGAAAACCAAGCTTTTCTTCCTGGAAACTTGCCCGTCATAATCCCCATCCACAATGTATATTTTCCAGGTTTTCTTGTTGATCATTTGAGCATACTTTAAAAAAATATTATTATTCGCTTTAAATAATATGATAGCAAATAGACAAAAACAATCTAACCTGAATCGTATCCGGTGGCATTACCTGAGTGCTATTATTTTCGCTGAATCCAGCAGCATTTGATTTCCAAATTTGCAATCAAATTATACGTAAATCCTTGCCAGGTACAGGGGGAATTTTTTTTTTTAAAAAGATTGTGTGTTCGTGAATATTGTTCTGACTTATCTGATTTCTTGCTTTACCAAATAAAAATTGGAAGGGGAAAAAAAGCCATTAAATTAACTTATTACGGTGTGAGAGCCAGAAAAAAAAAAATCAGTTAATAAAAAGAAGGTTAGCAAGCCAGTATGATTATACAGTGATTTCAGGTGAAAATTACAAAGCTAATATCCTGGCATTTAGTCACTGCGTTCAGTAATGATACAGTTGTCAAATTTGTATTTGTGCCAATGGAACAAAAGTTGTAAGTGGCATAATAGAAGATAATCTCTTTTTCTTTGTGGCTTTTTTAATTCAATGTTTTAATCCACTCATTTAATCACAAAACATATATCACATTAGTTATAATATTTATAGTGTTTAGGAAAGTGATTATAAATAGATTATAGTGCGGTTATTGGGATGCAGCCTTTTCTTCTTTTTTTGCTTGAATGTCTCTCTCAGAGGTATGCATCTTTTCTAGAGTTTGCCCTTGAGAACAGTTTTATTGAGAATAGTAACCATATATTTATGTGCAGAATCCCCATTTGGTAGTTACCGGCGTGCTCATGATTTTGGAAAAACGAGATTCCATATTAAAAGGCCGGGTGCTGATGATGTTTAGATCTCTGCCTTCAGCCCAGTTTCTAAAGCATTTTTGTTTCTCTGGAGTCCCTAAACTTGCTAAACCACAAAGTATCTGTAGTATGTTTTTTAAAGTAGTTGAACCATATAGTAATGATGGGGTACAGGAGGAGTTTATAGAGCAGTTAGTGGTTGAATTCTGCCTTGGTGTGGCCGGGTTGAGGGGGGGGGCTGCAGGGGCATGTGTGGGGCTTTGGGCACTGCTGGGCACAGACTCATCCTGTGGGAATGTGTGCTCTTACCCCACACTTCCTATTTGGGGCTGAAAATTTTAATAGTGAAGAAAGAAAATTATAAAGCACCAAGCTAGCCAGGATTGACTTCCCCTGCTGTATCGCTAGAAGGTGGCATGTCTGAGTCTCCGCCTGCGGGAGGGCTGTGCCCTTTTCTGGGGAAGCACAGAGCTCCTGAGCTTCCAGCTTGGGCCCTACAGCCCTTGGAGCTGGGAGATGACAGGGAGACATAGGCCTTTCCTCAGGAAAAGAGGGCAACCCCCTCCATAGTGAAGCCACCAGGCAGCTGTGGAAAGTGAAAGTTGGTCCGGATTCCAATGAAAAGATTAACTGGAAAACATTTCTACTCCATTTTCTAAAACTGAGTCTTCCCATGGGGAGGGGGGGGGGGGAAATAGTAATAATAAAGCTATCCTTAGAATTCTTTTAGCTTCTAGAAAGAAGATGCTATAGTAATATTCCAGCCCCCAACCCCAAACCTCAGGGAAGCAATTGGGAAGGTTTCTTAACATACCCTGAGTTCTTCCTTCCCTCCCCACAAATTCTGGGTGTCATGGGGTGAAAGCAGTGGTGTGTGTATCGGGGTGACTGGCACAATTCAAAGCCACGATCATGGGGGTCTAGGGAGCTGTGGAAGGCAGCTTAGTGGGCAGCGAGGCCCTGGCAGAGTAGACCGGCTGCCCCAGCCCAGCTTTGCCCTCCTGGGCAGTCTAATCCAACGTGAAATGAAGTTTCCTGGGAAGCAGGGCACACGAGGAACTTTTGAATTTACCAATGGCATAAAAAGTATATATATTTTTATGACAACGAGCAAGTTTCAATTGGTTGGCAGAAATGGCGAGATGTGACGTCAAGGGACACTAGTTAGAATGCCAAGGCCGGCGGGGAGGGGGGGGTTGTTGGGGGGAGACAGGCACAGAGAGACATTGGGATGGGACTCGGGAGGCCTTGTTTCTCTCGGGCCCTGGCCGCCAACGAGCCGTCGCAGGCGTCTGGGGACAGTCAGATCCATGCAGCTTGGAGCCAGGGCATGCCCGGGCAGGGGAACGGGGTCTGCGAACAGTGACTCTCTGTCCGCGTGCGTCCCCGAGAGCCAGAGGCCCAGATCTGCCCCCTCTGCGGTTTGGGAACCACTCGGGCGCCTCCGTGGAGCGGGCGGGAAAAGACGCCGCGGCCTCCTTGGCATTTTAACCCGTGCCAGGACCCTAGAGGCCGGCCGGTCCCCACCGCCGGGAGGGCCTGGGAAGGAACCGTGTGGCCTGGGGGCAGCAGTGTCGCCATCGGGCTCCAAGAGAGCAAAGCTGGGGCCTTGAACTTCGCCCCGAAGCTGCTGTGCCCTGAGTCGGGGGCGGGGGCAGGAAGTTGTTTCCACCGGGAAGGAAGAGAGCGCGCTCGGAGCTGGGCAGCAGCTCCGGGCATGGTGCCCCCGCCCACCCCACGCCTCCCTGGGCACCTTCAACGACCCCCCGACTGCTCCAGGCACCTTGCGCGCCCCTCTTACATCTCCAGGCACTGTGCGCTGACCCCTGCCTTCGCCGGCCCGCTCCCGTGGCCCGGGTCCCGACTCCCACCCCTCTGGGCACCCTTCGCTCTGGAGGTGTCCGGAAAGCCGCCGCGGGGTCGCCCGTGCGCGCACTCCGCCCTGGGGGAAGCCCGCTGCCACCGTCGGCCCCGAGCGCCGTCCCGGGGCCGCGTCGAGAGCTCCGCGGCGCACACTGTGGGGACGGGTCCAGAAAGCCTGGCCACCGTCAGCGGCGCGCTCGGGGCTGCGGGCACCAGGCTGCGGGGATTGCAGGGACCGTCGGTCCGCCGGGGGTCCCCGAGCCGGGCCCGAGCGTGCGCGCGCGACCCGCTGCCCGCAATCATGGCAGCCGGAGCCTTGGAGCGCAGCCGCCGAGCGCGCCCCAGCAGCCGCCTCGGTGCCAGGGCGGCGGGGGCGGGCCAGGCCGGGAGCTCGCGCCCGCCCCTACCACCACCCCCCCCCGCCTCAGCCGCGCGGGCACCGGGGCGCGAAACGGAAGGCCCCTGGGTCCCCGCGGCGCTGTGCCCCTGCCCGGGGCGGGCAGCGGGAGGGGCCGCAGGGCGGGGGCGCGCTGGCGGGGAGCGCCCGGGGCGGCGTGCCCGCGGGGACGCGCACGCGGGGCTGCGGGGCGAGGCGCGGGGCCCGGGCGGCGAATCCGCTGCTCGCGCCGCCCGCCCCGCCCGCGCGCGCTGTCCCGGGGTGGGGGGCGGCGGAGGGGGGAACCTAGGAGGGGCGGCGCCCGGTCCTCACCCGCAGCGGGCACGGCGGGGGCCGCGAGCGGCCTCGTTGGTATTCCGGGCGCGGTTGCAGCCCCGACCTCCCCGCAGAACAGGGGTGCCCGGGCGCGCGGGCACGGCCGCCGCTCTCGGGCGGTCTCCGCGGGCTGCGGGGCCCGCAGGCGCCTTGCTTTCCCCGTCCCCTCCTCCCTGGGTCCCCCGTACTCCCTCCCCCGCTCCGATCCGGCGGCGAAGGGGTGGGCAGGGAAACGCGCTCTCTGGGACAGGTGCCAACTCCGAGACAAAAGACATAAAATAGGCGGCAACGGGGGAAGCGCGGCCGGCGCGCTCGGGCGGGGACGGCGGCGCCGCGGGGGCCGCATCCTCGGTGCCGACCCGGGAAAGTTTGGGAAGTCGCCGCTGTCGCTTCGCAGCGGCGGAGGACGCGCGGCCCGGGTCGCCCTCCGCGCCGTGCTCGCCCTCTCCGCGCCGCTGCTGAATAATTCATGGCGCGGCCGCCGGCCATTAGCATGCACCGGGCGCGCGGCGCGTCTGTGCCAAGCCGCCGCGGCATTCGGCGCCCGGGCAGCGCCAGACGAGCGGCCTCTCGGCGGCCGGGCCCACGCTGTCCCCGCGCCCGCCCGGCGGCGCCCATTGTGCCCCGGCCCGCCCCGCCGGGCCGTCCCCGCGCCCGCCCGCAACCCGCCGCCCGCCCGACGGCCCGGCTCTGCAAGTCCTGGCCCGCGACGCCCGCTGGGAATGCACGTGAACTTGGAGAAAGTCGCGGGGCGCGCCGGCCCGGCTCTCCGCGGCAGGGCGTGGGCGCCCCCGGGCCGGCGTGCTTTCGTTTTCGTCTGGGACAAAGGTCCCTTGCGGCGCGCGCGGACGCGGTGACCGGGTCCTGCGGGCCACTCTCCGGAGCGCGGTCCGGTCGCTAAGCGCGGGGAAGCCGGAGCCCGAAGGGCAGGAGCAGCGCGGGGCTGAGGAAGTGGGGCCTGGGCCGTGCGCTTCGCCGGCGGCGGTCCAGAGCCGTCACACCCTGAGAAGAGTTGCGCAAACTGGCACTGCTCTGCCGTCCGCCGCTTCGACACGGGAAGAGGAGAAGCGTTTGGAACCCAGGACTTAGGACCGCTGGCCGAGGGCCTGTGCAGCTCCGGGCACGCGAGCGCGGCGGCGGCCAGGCGCGGTCCTCCCGCAAGGACAGGGCTGTCGACCTGTGCGCGCCCCAGGTCACCATCGGGTTCACGGCGACTCCGACTCCCGAGGACGGTAAGTGCATTTCTCACTTTCGCTACTTAGTGAGTATTTAAATATTAATGAAGGGATCTCTGAGAGAGGGACCCTTCCGTAGGGCAGGCCTTGCGCAGACCAGGGAGTGCACCGGGGAGGTTGCTCTTGAACCCGAAGCCGCACCAGCTTGCAAGAACTCCACTCGGCATTCATCTGGATCTTGGAATTTCTGAAGCACAGCTTCTAATCTCAGGTGTGCAGACTATTTGCCGGAGAGGATTTTGTCGAACACCTAGAATAAGCGTTAGCAGACATCTTAAACACAACAGAAAGAAAAAACATCTGTTTTTAGAATTTTGTGTGTCTGTGATGTGTTTGGAAAGGTGATTGGGAGGGTACAATTCTTTCTTGGAAAATTGCAATATTTCATTTACTTCCTAAACCCATGCTGCCTATTTTTTACCTCCTGGTCAGACACTTGGGGAGAGCTGATTTAAGGGGGGAACCCTCGGTTCGGCGTTGGCGGCATTTGGGCCGGTTCAGTGAAAGGCCCTTGTGTGGAAGCTGCTGTTTACGGTGGTGTAAAACAAAAAACAACTCATAACTTTTTGTAATAAATGCCCCTTTATAGGTACCTCACACACAGGCCCAGCCAGTGGCCCTGGGGAGTTTGTGGGGAGCCAGAAAGGGGTGAAGGAATGCTTGCTTGCTGTGATTATAGGGTTTTAAGGTAATGTGGAGATTTTTTTCAAAGTTGGGTTTCAAAAGCTGAGGCAGCCTGCAGGCCAGCAATAGTTTCATTTTATTTTAGTTCATCGGTTCTAGCTCTTTGGGGTTTTAAAATGCATGTTTGTCCATGTGTGTACAGAGCCAGGGTTAAAATGAAACCCCCCAAACGGTGGGGGATCGAGCCCGCTTTTTACTCTGATTGTACCACAGGTGCAGCTTCTCACCTCCTCTCTCACCTTATTGATGTGGTTTGGATAACCTTGCTGGGTGCTTTCACCACAAAATAATGGGGGGCCTGTTTCCATGACACCCCAGGGCCAGTGAGCTGGCTCTCGGAGGTTGTGTTTCCGGGACATGGACAGAGGCCCGGATAGTCCACGCTTGCCTCACACGTCCCTCCCTTTCGGCTGCCTAGTCCCCCCCCCCACAAGAACCCCAAGGACTGGGGGGACCTTTTCAGTCCAGTCCAGCCAGCCACAGCCAGAGGCGGAAAGTTTACCTCCGTGCTGGAAGAACTATCCTTGGGTGTCGTTTTTGATGGGCTGCCTCCCCCACAGCCCCCTCGCCCCATTTTGAGTTTTTATTTATGCCTTTATCAGAGGCAGTTAGCAGACGTGAAACCCGGGATGGGACTTTGGGGGTGATCTCAGAATCGGGGTGCAGCTGCGGAAGTCATGCCGTGCTAGCCGGGAGCTTCTGCTTGGCGTGGCGTTGGTGGCGACGAGGTTGGTAATTAGAAGAAGCTCAAGTTCCACTAGGGCCTTGCCTGTAAAATGCTGAGGACATTTTTTCCAAGGCCACAGGAGACTGGGAGCACAGCATGGAGGGCAGGCATGGTGTGGCGCTCCGCCGAGGCTGCGGGATGTCCCCCGAAACAAGCAGTGTCCGGCTCTCCTGCTCAGCAGGCCAGACCCAGGGCGAGCCAGGGAAAGGCCTGAGCGTTGGAGGACGCAGTCTCCAGGGCCGCCGAGCGAGGGCTGCTATTCGCCAAAGCTCCGAAGCCCTGTAGCCCCATCTCCTGCCACACACAGTGTGCCCCCGGTCCATGAAATGGGATGAGGTCAAGATTCTGCAGCCACCAGTGGGGCCGGCGCCGGGCACGGAGGCCCCGGCGAGGCCCCGTCCTGCCTTTGCCCACGTTCCTCAGGGCCAGCTCAGCCTGATGGGGTCTCAGGGTCCCACCAGGGGCTCCCGTGCGGTGTTGGCTCTCCCGTCCTGGCACTATTCATTTTTTGAGGGCACACACACAAAAGAGAAGGCTCTGAAAATGAAACTGGCGCTTGTCTGCTTTTATCGCTTCTGGATTTCACATCAAGAACGTAGGAAGCAGGGGGCCGGGGCCACGGGACTGCGGTGTGGGCTGGTGGAAGGACAGGCCTTGGTTTTTCTGGTTTTGTTTTAAACCGGGGCCCACCCCAGGATGGTCCCTCGCCTGCGCTGGCGCCTCACTGGGCCCCAGACGCTCCTGGGTGAGAAGGGTCTCCAGGGTGCTGGCGGGGACGTGCGGGTCTCTGCCTGGGCAGCGCCCCTCTGCATTGGTGAGGTCTCATGCACAGCGCCTGAGCGGGTGCAGGCCGGCAGCTTGCCTTGCTCCCCAGGAACACGTGGGGCTCTGCAGCAGGGTTACTTTTTGTTGTGTGGGTTACCCCTGGCCGGGTCAGGCTCTCTGTGTGAAACTGTCTCGATCCCTCCGGCCCCCTAAAGGGCACTGGGGGACTGTCCCGGACCAGCATGGACCGGGCCTGACCAGAAGGTAGACCGTGTGGCCTGGGAGGGACTGGGAAGGGCTCTGCCCACCCAGATGGGCACGCTGCCTGGCCGGGTGTCCAGGGGAACCTCTCGTGCAGCGTAGATGCGTGCCTGTGCTGAAGGACGATCTCTAGGAAGGGAGGGGTCCTTTCAGGCCAGGCAAGAAACATGGTAAAGCCACCATGCTTCCTTGGGGTGTTGTCGTTGGATTTTGAAGGTTCTTTGAATGTTTTGGGACAGAGGAGAAGACTCCAGCAAGCTGGAGTCTGAGACCCTGGGCTGTGGTCTGCCCCTGCCCCTCCCTGGGTGAACCTGGCACATCTGAGTTCCTCCCTGAGCCTGGACTCTGAGCTCTAAAGCGGGAAGAGTATGAACCCACCTCGGAGGCTTCAGACACGATTGCGATAAAGCACCCTCCCAGCACGCTGTCGGGAGTGGGGCATACATGGCTCCTGCCATTGTTATTCTTACTGTTGTCAACAACCATCACTGTTTTTGTGTAGTTATTATTTATTTTGCTTACCACTACTATTATTTTATGTATTATATTATGTTCTATTCGAAGTAACAGAGAACCCAACTTTGGTCTCACCAGAAAACGAACCAAGAAGTTTACTCTCCCGGCCCCACAGGTGGGGGTAAAGGTGGACCTTGATGTTACCTCCCAGGTAGACTGGCAGGAACTCACAGAGCCAGCGCTTCCCTCGTCACAGGGACTTGGTGTGAGTGACATCCAGATGCATCTTACATCTCACATTGGGTACACAGGATGAGGCCAGGGTCACCTTGGGGACCTGGAAAGTGCTGACGGAGGAGGCATCCCTTCCCAGGGGCAGGACAGAAGGCACGCCTGGGTGCTCGCCCTGGGGTCTGACCTTTGCCACCCCCCCCCCCGCCCTCAGGGGCAGGAAAGAACGGGGCAGGACGTCCTGACAACAGGGGCCCACTGCGGCCACACCAGCCACCAGCGTCCTCGCTGGAAGTGCGGTTGGTGATTTGGTGGGAGGGCTTCACCACTCTGATGAGCAAATTGTTCTTTGCCTTGGCACGTTAACCAAAGTGCTTGCTTTGGAGAATTTTCCCTCCTAGCTGGTCATTCAGGAAGACCCAGCAAGATCGCCCTTGCTGAAAACATCTTGTTGGAATAAGAGAGAGCCCTAAATGGCGTCGGCCATGCTTTCTGATGTTACAGAACTGAGCAGGGAGAAGAAGCAACAATTGTCTCCGAGCAGAGACAATGGATCTTTCATTGGAAATATTTATTTTCGGGGCTGCCCAGCGTTCCCTGGGCTGGGACAGTCCATGTAGCTCGAGCGTCCGGGAATGGCACGCCCCAGACATGCAGTCGGGGACAGAGATTTACAGAAGAAAAAACGAAAGTCTCTTGACCCGTGGTTCTTGAACAATTTTCGTGGGCACGTCTGGCTTTCTTTGTTGAGTGGAGGTTAAACTTGCATGAGTTCATTTTGTTTTCTTCTGCGATTTCTTTTGAAAAGCCGCAGGGCTGCCCTTGCAAGTGTTGGAGAGATGGCCAGGTTTGGGGTCGTGGGCAGATGGGGCCTCCCTCTGCCAGGCCCAGTCGGCCTTAGCTAGCTGGGTCACAAAATGCAAGTGAGGAAGAATAGAGCCTGGCAGAGGAAAGCTCGGCCCCCACAGGGCTCAGGGAGGGGCCGTCGAGAGGGCGATTGGGGCCAGTAGCTGTGGTTTTCCAGGGTCTGCTCTTCCCCAAATTCCGTTCTCAGATGAACTTGGGAGTGGCCCGTAGGTTGCCGGAGAGTCTGGCCTCGCTCGGTGAAGCCCCACACGAGCAAACACCCTTCCGGGCTGGAGAGGGTGTTTTTGTAACTCTGACAAACGTGGCCCAGAGTTAGGGCTCCGTGAATGTTTTCTGAATTGATAGAATGAAGAGAATTTCACCCCAGGCCTACACACGACCCGTTCCCCCCACCCCGGCCCCTTCTCCGAGGGAAGCCAGGCCAGAGCCGGGGCTCCGGTTAGCAGATTTGGGAGGGGTGGGCCGTGCCGGGGCCTGAAGTGAAGCATCGGAACGGGAGCTTTGGGAAGGCTGAGGTGGCTCATTGGCCAGGGATAGCCAGCCCCTTAGGGGGACCTGTCTGGACACCCCAGCAAGGCCTTGAAGGAGGACAGATGAGGGAGTGCCCCTGGTCCGGTGGGGGACCAGTATCACCCAAGCGGCTTTCTTGGCCAATTCTAATATCTGGCTTCAGAAATGAGGTTTTATTTTTTGTCAGTCGGCTGTCACGTGTTTTATTTTTTGTTCAATGTGAGAACTTGTCAGCGTGGCCCCTGCTGCTCTCTCACTAGCCCACTCAGAAGAGTGTCTTGCTCTCTTTCAGGGTGTCCAGGAGCCTCTGAGGCAATAGGTAGAATTGGTAATATAAAAATCATGAAAAAGAATGAAATCTTGTGACAATGGGCAGAAAAACCCCCAAACCAGGTTCCTAGTCACTTTTTTGTGCCTGGTGGGAGGCAGTTTAAAAGTAAAAGAAAAATTGGGGACGGGAAGCTTCTTGGTGGTGTCTGGACTGGGGAGTCTCATTTGTTTGACCACCCAGGAACCCGTGTGGAGAGAGTGGCTGTGCCCACTGTCCAGCTAGCGCCAGGCGGGTTTCCGAGTAGAGACATGACTGCTGGGTCACCGGTTCGTGTTGTAAAATAGGACCCGTGTTTGCCGTTACCAAATTTGTGCATGAAAGCCACACAGTAAAAAGGCTAAACAATTTTTTTTTTTTAATTCAGTGATAGAATTTTCCCTCCAGATTAAAAAAGAATCGTCCCTTTTGCTTTTGGCTTTCTAAAACCGGGTTTTTTTTTTTTTTTTTTTTTTTTTTTTTTTTTTTTTTTTTTTCCTGTGGAACGCCCTTTCCTTAATTCTGGCATTTCAGATGGCAGGAAGAGCATTTAGCTGAAATATTTACCTGCTGATTTGGGGCTCGTAAATTTAGAATCCCCTTTCATGTGTTTAAGAGAGATATTTACATTCAAATCAGCCTTTTATAATTACATTTTAAATTATAATAAAATGATGGTGCCGGAGCTCCAGCTAAGGGAAGCTGCGGCACATTGGGTGGGGGCTGCTTGTCCCCCAGAGCCCCGCTGCCCCACTGTGTGGGTTCTGGCCTGCAGGGGCACACGTGTGTCCTGAGCATGTGAGCTTACATGGGTGTTACCTGTGGGGCCCTCCCCACACTGCCAGGAGAAGGCCGTGACAGGGATTCTGGCCCTGCACAGTACAATGGCGCCCTAGCCTTGCCGCCTGGAGCTCCATCTGAGAAGGGCCTGATTCGGGCTGGAGTCCAGGCCCACTGCCCTCGTGTCCTGAGTCCCACGATGGCCGGCAGGCCTGCTCTGGAGGCCATTATCTCCTGGGCAGCCAGCTGGGCACAGCAGTGGCCACTTCTGGTTGAGGCAGTCCTGTGGGTTGGGGGGCGGGCACCTCCTCCTGCAGCCGTAACCCAGGCCCTGCCTCCTCTGCCATGCCCCTGTGGGTCTTACCGTTGTCATCCCATCTTGAGTGGCTTCCTGATGTTGCCGGCTGGCAGGGCAGACCCCGTGCTGTGGAGCATGGGGGACCCTTCCCTCCCAGGGCCTGGCTCTTGGCAGCCAGGCCAAGCCGCTGCTGGAATGGAATTCCCGGCGTTCCTGGTGGGGCGCATGGCATCGGAATCCTACCTGCTTTGTCTCTGGCATCAGCTGGCGAGCTGGTCACGTGGCCATGTGCGTGAGTGAGACCAGAGCCCAGGACTGAGGGCTCCTCCTGGGCAGCTTCCTCCTCGCTCACTCACCCCCACCCCCTTTTTTTGGCTTTCAGCAGGACCCGCTCTGAGCAGGCGTAAAGCAGCGTTAAAATCAAACAGAATCCAGGCAGCGGGGAGCTCCCGTCCACTGCAGGAGGCTCTCACGGTCCACCCGGACCACCCTTTATCTCAAGTCCTTGTTGACAGAAAGGCTCTGATGCGTCCCGTACGCCCAGGAGTCAGGCTCAGAGCCGGGCGGTGGTCACGCCACGCCGTCCCCTCTGGTGACGAGCTGGTCCTGCCTGCCCCCGGACAGCCATGGGGTGGGTGGCCCCACTTGCTAGGGAGCCCCTTCCCATACTTCCAGCCTTGTTGCTCACCTGCACAAGGACAACCCTGTGGTCACTGCTGTAGCTCCTGGTCACAGAGGGCGACAGGGGAGAGCTGGACAAACACGTGACCCAGCAGACCCAGCCTGACGGCTGCAGGAGAGAGCAGTGGGGTCCGATATTTTATCTCCAGATCAAAGAGCCACAGTGAAACCCCAGGCCTGCCAACCCCCGTCGTCGGGCCAGAGGACTGGGATGTTTCCCTGACGTGGTAGCAAGGTTTGGTTTTGGTGAAATCAAAGATTTGTGAGGGTGTGAGAGTAGGAGGTGACAGGCCTGGACTCCGCCCCGGCACCCTGTCCACTGTGGCTGCCTGGCCACCCTCAGCCCCCCAGCATCAAGCGCCCACTGGGTGCCTGGACGGGGCTTGGGGCTCTGTACGGGTTAATTCTGCCACTCCAGCAGCCCTGAGTGGGAGGAGCCATTATTCCCTTTCATTCTATAGATGGGGAAACTGAGGCAGGCTTGCCCGTGATGAAGTGGCCAGTCGGACACGGGGCCAGATTCAGACCTACAGCCTGGGCTCCCAGCTAGAGCAGCGCCAGCCTCTAGGGGCGTTAGAATAGGGCTCACTGCGAAGGCCCCGGCCAGGGCAGCTTTCAGGGTGGGGTCTCTGGCCTCACCCTAGGGAAATGGCCAGGGCGCTGGTTGCTGCCTGCTGAGCCTGGCGTGGGAACAATGCGGCCTCTATCCCTGGAGCGAGCCAGGCCGCCCGGACGCCCAGCCCCTCGGAGCAGCCCGGCCAGGCAGGCGCCCACAGCATGGCGCCCAGTCAGCGCTGCCCGTCCACGGGGCGCTGGCGCCTCGGCCGGGCCTGGGCGGCCGCTCCCCACATCCTCCCGGGCCGGCCACTGAGTGGCCATACGCCGGCTTCCTCCTCCCTCTCCCGCCCGGCCAGCCTCCTCCTTTTTTGGTGGTGGGTTTGGGGGCCCGGCCCACCCGCCACTGCCACGTCTGCCATCCTCCCGCACCCACGAGCATCTTTCAAAAATTCCCGGTGGGCGGGGCCGAGCTGCAGCGGCCGCCTCTGCCCCCCCCTCCCCGGGCAGCCAGTGCCAGATGAGAGCAGGAGACAAAAGTAGCATTTTCCTCGTACTCCGGGGCTGGCAGTGGGGCCTTCCCCCAGCGCCACATGGCTCCTGGCAGCCCTGCCCCCTGTGCCGGGGTGGCCGAGGCCCAGCAGGGCCCACTGGACCGAAGGGTGGCGGCGGCCGGAGACCGGGGGGCCCGCAGGCCTGCGGCCGGGGCTGGCACCGGGCAGCCTGCCGGCGGGTGGGACCTGCCCTCCTCCCCCGCCGGGGTGACCGGCCGGGCCCGGGGACGTCATTTTCACTTCCTGGCTTTGGAGACAGCGCCTCCATCTTCCGGCACCTCGGGTAAGTCACCTTCTTTCCTTCTGTCGTGAAGACGAGCCGAGGGTGCTGCCATCTTGTGCCCCAGTGGCTGTTACGTGTCCTCCCTCTAATTGGTTCTCCAAACTCGGAATTCTATTTCAGAGCCCTCCATCTTCCGAGAGGGACGCCCTGCCAAAAACTGCAGGGAAAATGCAGGAGCCAAGCCCATTGACTTTCAAGTCTCAAAGCTACAGGCTTTAGAAATCACAATAAAAATGAATGTTTCTCATTTCACAGTAGCTGCGTCTTCCATTACGGTGGGAGCAAATGCTTCGGGAGGCATTCCTGGCCACGGCCTTCTCCTGCCTGCCTGGTTGTGGCAGTTTGTGCGGAGGCCTCATTATTATTATTTTATTTTAATTTTTGGCGGCACCAGGACTGGCAGAGGGAAAACCACCAGGACCATCCACGGCTCCTCCCAGCAAACGCATCGGCAGGCAGGGCCAGGCCGGCCCCCGGGAGGGAGGACTTTGCATCTGGAAACAGAGGCCCTTTTATGTTCTCCAGCATCTTTAATGTTACCATGTCCACAGTTTAGGGATCAAGTTCTCTCTCACTTTCATTTTAGTTTTTGGAAAGAAAAAAAAAAAAAAAAAAAAAAAAAAAAAGCAAGCAAGCAAGCAAGCTTCTTTTGGCCCTCAGCTCAGCCTAGGGAAAAATGTTTTCGGTTGTCGTGGGCTTTGTTTTTGAGTCCTTATTTCGACTTGGGGGGTTCCACCTGAAAGTGCTGTACCTGTCTGGTCACCGCCCTGCCCGCAGGCTGCGTGTGGAGTGTGCATGCGTGGGCACCGTCCACTACACAGACCCTCAGGGAAGCCTGAGTGGCCTCATGGCCTGCCCATGGCCTGGACCCCATGCCAGGGAGTCCTCACCTGCTGTGCTGCTCGGGGAGACGCCCAAGTCATCCAGGGCCTGAAACGTGGCCGGCAGGGCTGAGAGTCCCTCAGAGACCTTTGTGTCCCCCGACCTCGCCACCGCTGTCCAGGAGCTGGGCTCAGTGGCTGCCCGGGTGGCCCTGTTGGTCCCTGGCCCTCCAGAAGCACTGGCCCTTTTGATTCAGAGGTGGGCTTTGCAGAGCACTGCTCCGTGCCCACCTCCATGCTCTGGCAGGCTAACAAAAGCGTCCTCCGATGCGGCCTGGTTCCCTACCCTTGAGGGGAGCCAGGGTCTTGATTTATGGAAAATGGACAATCAGACCCGGAAAGTTCTAAAACGGCACTGAGAGGAAAACTCCCATGGAAATCCATCTTTGTTTTCCCAGTTCGGAGGCGCGTGGGCCCTGCGTGCGCTGGTCTCGGTCTGAGCGGCCGGCCTCGGCAGACAGCCCCAAATCTGAAAACGGAGCTCAGCGAGCACGAGGACTCTGAGCTTTTGTTCTTAGATGAGCCAGCAGTCAATACCGGAGGGTTTGGGGCTGCAGAAACAGGCATATATAGCAGAGATAATTAAAACATTTCATGATATGACAGCCACATTCTGCTGCTACAGGCTGGAGGATTCATGCCACCCAAATATTTAGCAAGCATCAAATAAAACACTGGTGGCAAAATAAAAGTAATAGAAAAAAAAGCACAATGCATTTGAAAAGCGAAAGAGTCAAGGCGATAGGGAATGGGCAGGGGAAAAGTGGGAGAGTTCAGCATTTTAAAAGAATTTACGTGTTTAATAGCTGGCTACTCATTTTTTTTTTTTTTTGTATAATTAATGTAGGCGAATAGACCCTTAATCCTCAACCCTGGATTGAGAGATGGTCAAATTTCCTGATCATTAATTTATTGCTTTTGTTTTTTGGGTTTTTTTGGACAAGATAGAGGTAAGTAGCAGAACAATCAGTTATTCACATAAAGGAACATTTTCATTCTTAATTAGTATTGCCACTGCAATTAAATTTATCTAGTGTTTTTAACATGCATGAAAAATTCACTGTCCCGTGTACACCTTGGGTACCTGGGACCGTTGTATGTGATCAACTATCATCTTAGTTTTTTAACTTGGGTAACATTCGACCCTCCCCCCCCACCCTCAAAATCACTAAAATGTTATGGATTCTGCTTTTTTAAAAAAAAATCAGGCCAAAATCTCAGCATTCTCCATGGCTCCCAGTGCTTCTCGGCAGTATTTTTTTTTTTTTTTTTTTTTGAAGAAAGTACCACGCAAAGCACTTTTCACATCATCGCTTCTATATAAATTCCACTATAGACTGAAATTATACATTCTCGCAGCACAGATGGGCTGGTCTGTCATTACGGCTGCTGGGTACTTGTTGGAACACACAGCATATTTCAATTGTGGAGTCGACAATTTCGAAGAACTGGGGTCAAAATAAACAAGTTGCGTTTGTGTATAGAAACAGACTTATTCAATGATCTTCTCATCCCTTGGAAAATTCGGCAGAGGAGCAGTCATCACCTTCATTAAACTTTAATTTAATTTTTGGTCTGTATCTTTTAAGACCCCACATCCCCTATGTCAAAGACCCATCAATGTTTCAATTAATGACCAATTTTTCTCTTCTGCTGCAGCATCAGCAGTGGAACACAAGATTTAAATTCAGACTCGTGGCTGTGGTTGTGACCATCTTTTGATTTTAATTTTAACATCTTCATAATTTTAATATCTTACTAATCTCTATAGGGAAGGTGTTAAATCTCTAACTGTTCTATGTTGAGTTACATATTATTTTGGGGCCTTTATGAAAAAATCAGATGATTTATATTTAGGATGCTCTAAAGAATACATTTAAATCCAAACTCCACCAGCAAAAAAATGCAGCAGGTAAAATACATAGAGTAGCCATAAACTTAAAAAAAAAATTATCTCACCAAGATAACAAAGGGCAGAATTTATTGGTTTGTATCAGCCTCCTTGAGGGCAGAGCAGTTTTTACAGCCACAATAATTTGCAAATGATGGCAACTGTTTATTTTGCAAATATGCTCATGTTATGATGCAATCAGTGAAGCCTTCTTTCTTTTCCCTTATGTGTGTTTGCCTCTGTGTTTCTAAATTCCGGATTCAGGCTCTGCAGTTCCTCGCCGGCTAAGACCACGTTCCCACGTTCCTGCCTCAGTGGCGGTGGCCGGGAGCAGGGAAGGGTGCGCCCCCTGTGTTGCCTCCTGCGAGCTCCAGCCACCGCATCCATTTGTTCGTAGAAGCGCTTTGTTCCAGCTTGTTTACTTTAAGGCAGGCGTCCCCAAACTTTTTACACAGGGGGCCAGTTCACTGTCCCTCAGGCCGTTGGAGGGCCGCCACATACTGTGCTCCTCTCACTGACCACCAATGAAAGAGGTGCCCCTTCCTGAAGTGCGGGGGGGGGGCGGGGGGGCGGATAAACGGCCTCAGGGGGCTGCATGCGGCCCGCGGGCCGTAGTTTGGGGACGCCTGCTTTAAGGGATGTACCTGTTGGCGGAGATGTTAGCAAATAAGAGGGAAAGTAAAAAGTTGATGAAATTCACCAGAGCTGCTTGGGAGGCTGCTCCGCTGTCTGGCGGTTTTAAACCACATCTTCTTTTCCAGTTCTGGTCTTTGAGCCTATTGACTCCTGCCTTCGTAGCAGGGATATGGTCCAGGTCTGGGTGCTCTAAAAGATGAGGCCGTGTGAAACGGCCCCAGCCTCTGGGCCACAGAGTCTCTAAGCAGCCGTGGGCGTGGCGATGGTGATAATAGTAGCAGCCGCACTCCCTGCTGTTCCCATGCCCGCTGCGTGCTGTGGCGCCTGTGTTCTGAAGAGCACTGGCCCTGGGGCCCGAAGCCCGGGTTCAGACCGAGTCGTCTTTGATTTGGGGCCCTGTTGATCCAGGGCAAGTGATTCCACCTCCCCAGCTTCATCTCCTTATCTGTAAAATGGAGGCAGTAAGAGCCAACTTGCTGAACCCATGGAAAGCTGGGATCATGGTGAGCACCCCATAAATGCTATTGCTTCCTTGCCTTATTTCTGAGGCTCAGACGATGCCTGCAAGGGGACATCATCATCACCTCCATTCCACCAGGGGACGCAGCAAACCTCGGAGAGGCTCAGTGGGTTCCCCAAAGGTTCCGTCAGCTGATCAGGGTCGGGCCAGGACTTGAACCCAGCCCCCGCCATCCTGCAAAGGCCGGGTTCTGCCGCAGCATTCAGCAGTGAGTGTTTCTGCACGGGCGCGCCTGCTGCCCTGGCTGTGGACAGCGTGCTGCACACAGGCGTGTGCGTGCCACGTTTGCACGCGTGCAGAGGCGCCCTCTCATTTCTCCACTGGCTGACATTCCTGGTAGGTCGGCGGTTTCCGAGGAGGTGAACCGGTGTTTGGAGGCGCATTTGTCTGAGTGGGCCACGGAGCCCGCAGCCCACCCGTGAGCATGGCTGGGCCCTTGGCCGTCACGGCCCTGGGGATGCCCGCGAAGGGCGGTTTTCCTCAACCCCGGGGCCAGCCGAAGCCGATGGGGGTGGACTGGCCAAGCAGGCGTGGGCTTCTCGGGGGTGCCCGGCTCTGCCGAGGCAGGCCCTGGCTGGGTGGCCTGCACGCCGGGCCCTGGCCAGGCGCACTGCTGCCTCCTGACGTGGACAGGCGGTTCTGGGCGCCGGCCATTTGCAGACTGGGAGGAGCAGAAGTGAGGCCTGCAGGCCCCGGAGAGGAAATGGCGGCGTGGGCAGGCCCAGAACAGGACCGGGAAGGCGGGCCGAGGGAGGGAGCGGCCCGGAAGGCCTCCGTGGGCCGGTCAGCGTGCCAGCGGCCCTTCTCCAAGCAGCAGCCAGCTGGCCGGGCCTTCCCGGGCAGGCCCGTGTGTCTGCCCGCAAGCGCACACCTGTGCCAGCATGCCGGGGCACGGGGACTCCCGCGGCTTGGTTTCCTAACAGGGCGCAGGGCAGGGACTGGGTTCGATGAGACGGTAAATGCCCCGCGCGCCTTCGGACCAAACAGACCTTGAACAGAACGGTTCTGACTGCAAGGCCTCAGCTCTTGTCTTTAAAATGGGGCTTCCAGCCTCCGCCTCAAGACGGTCGCAGGCGCCACACGGGATCCTCATCTGGGAGCCCTGGATCCGCCGCCGGCGGTTCCCTGGCTGCGGCCTTAGGAAGATGGGACGGGAGGCCCGGGTCTGCGGCGGGCGCTCTCAGCCCGTCTCAGACCCTCCCCAGCGGCTCCCCATGACCTCAACGGGATGGCGTTACCCAGCACCCGCCCAGATGCCAGGGTGGCCGGGTGTGCCGCCGTTTCAGGTGGTCTTGGAGAAGGGTCCCAGCGCCGGCTTGTGTGAGCCTCTGGGTTTCCGAGCGTCCAGGCGGGCTGGGCTCAGGCTGTGCGCCGGGCCAGCGGTTCCCGAAACCCCAGAAGGAATCCGCAGGAGGCGGGGACTGGGAAGGCAGCCGGGTGGCGCCAGCGGCTGCCAGGGAACCTCTGGCCCCATTTCCTGGGAGCCCGGCCCCGCCCTAGGATTCCTGGGGTGGGCGTGCCCACGCTTCCGGCCCAGACGTGGGTGGAGGGATCCCACCCCGGCCTGCCGCCCGGGAGGCTTCTTTCAGCTCCGTGGAAGGAGGGCTCCGCCTGGGCCTGGTGCTTCGAGGTCCGGATGAGCGGACGCTGGCGCCTGTGACCTTGCAGCGGACGCCCTTTGAAGTCTGCGTGGCCTTG